TGGATGGTTTGGACTTGCTGCATGAGGTGGCCTCACTGGGCTCCTTGCCTTGTACCTGCTCTGGGGACCGGAGCCGAGACTCCTGTGGGAACCACCCAGCAACACTGCCTTCCCAGGTCCTCCCAAGTGCTTGCAAGGGTGCAGGGACAAAGACACCTCCTCCCCTGAGGGAACTGCGTAGACGGGAAGCGTGTGTGATGAGGCAATGAACAGCATGGTGGGGATGTGGGTGAGCCGGGATGGGGACACATCAAGAGACTGAAGCCACAGGTAGAACTGAGGCAAAGTTTTATCACCCCTTTGCCTTTCACAGCCCCTACATCCACAGAACAGTCCCTTACTTGGAGGCTTCATAAGATAAGAAGACATCAAGGGGCCATTGCTCCCAACAGGGGATGCGTAATCCTTTGTAATCCGGACAAATGGCAGAGGGGGAAGAAAGCCGCCTTATCGTTTTGCTTATACAGCCTTCCCTCTGGTCTCCTAATCCCTAGAGTGGGGCTGATCTCACCCAGGTTTAGGATCTAAAAGGGACATGTTCCAGCCAGCTGCTCAGGTCTAGCCTATGATCACCAGCAATAGGTGATAAGATAACCAACCCTTTGAGTAGGACTGTATCTCTCATCAGCTGCAGAACCAGTCAAATGCCACTGGAAATTGCATTTTAAAGAGCTACATGCAAACAAGGAGAGTCCCACCCCCAGGTCTGCCACCACCAACCCCCCACTGCAAAGGCTGAAAGCATGTCAACCCAAGGAGAGTATGTCTTCTCCCACGAGAAAAAGCAAGTTGCCCAAGTATCTACTGTTGTAGTGTCCCCTGCCACACCAATGCCTTTCCTACGACACAAAGCAAGGAGGAGGACAGAGAGATGGGCAGTAACCCAGGATGAAGCTGCTTGGCTCATGTCTCACTGAAGCACCAGCTCTGAGAGGGAGGCTCATTCCTACCTCAAGCCCACTGGAGCCCATCAGCTGGTTACACAAGGGAAGCAAGCCAAAGAGCACAAAGAAAAGCTTGCTCATTAGTCAGCCCCAAATGGTGTTTAGCCGTCTACGTAACTCTGATGGAAGAAGGGGCATGTAAGATGCTCCGGTGCTGCACTGTAAAACAGAGCCCCAGCTAGAACCCCCACATATGGTCCGTACCTCTCCTCATGTGCCTGTTCCCTCACCTCCTCACCAAGGAGAGGGGACAGACAACGGGCAGTTTCTCCCAAAAAGTACAACGCACTTTTGTGCTGTTATTTATAGCCATCTTCTCCTCTTGGTTTCCTGCACATACCCAAAACGAAAGCACAAAGGATGACACAGATGAGTCTGGGTGACTACTAATTTTTCTCCTCTACCACCTCATCATTCATTCTTTCTTTTCCCCCGGTAGGAGAAACGGATTGGAGGGAGCTCCCCCAACAGCCACAGTCATAACAAACCTCTCTCAATAAAGTAACCCCCTCCCAAGCCTAAATATTAGGCTGAGCCCACAGAAAAAGAAGCCCGAGAGGCTTCCCTCAAAAAATACCCCTCCTATTTACAGTATTGCTTTCGCTTGCAGCAACAGACCAAGAGATGTGCACTCAGTCCCTCCCGTGCACCCACGGGGCTAGCTGATCCCCTTCTCTCATCCTCACCAGTGGTTAACCTACCAGCAAGGGGGGTCAAGTCACGGGGAGGACAAGCCATGGGGACAGCCACCGGCAGCACAAGCCTGCTGGATGGAGCAGGTAGAAACGGTGCCTATATACAATGGAGAACAACTGCTCCCCCTTCCCTCTCAGGGCCTGCAGCTCTACGTTTTTCTACGCCATCCCTGTGGTTGTGGGGCAGCTGGAGAAGAGTCATGCTGGGAGAAGGGGAAGGACTGCTAACCTCGGTGTGGTCCAGATGAGATGTTTGCACAACCACAACCTGTGTCCCATCCTCCTGACTCCTAAGTGTGCTACGGGGAATAGGATGGATGCTCAGGGCAAGCGCCTATGGGTTTTGGATCTGCTCCAAGTGTCTGCCACTGCAGCCAGTGTTGCATGGAGCAACATGGAGCAGGGTGGCTGCCTGGGCGATGGAGCTCCTCACTGCTGCAAGGCATATCCCATTTCTTGTGCTCCGAGAGACGTCTGTGCTGGGGACAATTGTCCAGGTGGCTACTGCAGAACTATTTCCCTTTAGGGACGGTCTTCACACATAAAGCTTACTTCTATCCTGGAATAAGGAGTATGCTTCCACAGCTGTGTCTTTACTTGAAGCAAAATCATGAGGAACGTGGAATGATGTCCACACGAGCTCTATCTAAGAGTCACTACTGCCACCTAGGCGAGACTTTAAAGACAGCCAGGATCTCAGATGCTGCAGAAGACACACTAAGGTATAGTCTAATAAAGTACAGTAAGACCAGTTTTCAGAGAGCTCAGTCTGGCCTCAACCAATTCTCTGCACACCAAGACCTCCTCCCCATCTGAGCGTAAGGCAAAGCGCAGCCATATAGGGCAGGACCCTTCTCCGCTTGGTTGCACCCCTGTGCAAGAGCCAGACACGCTGGTCGTCTCAGAAGCAGTGTTTCTTTCCAGGGA